CAATGAGTAGGGAAGGAAATAGACTTCTAGGATGGAGGCTGGTACAACTGATTAAGAGAGCTTTAAACTAGGAATTTGGGGGAGATGGTTGGAAGATGTCCAGGTAATTTCCATGCCGGATTTTAGCATTGAGAGGGAAGAAAACAAAGTAACAAAGGATACAGCCGTGGGCAGGAGAACGGATATAAAGAGGAAGGGCAGTGTGGATACCAGTCTAATAGGTCATACTGGCTGTAGAATGTTCATGCCTAATCGGGTAAAGAATGTGAGCGAGGCCAAACAGCAAAAATTAAGATGCTTGTACCAAATGGAGGAACTAGAGCTACTGGTGCAGGAAGTGAAACCAGATATTATAGTTATAACAGAAAGATGGTGGAATAGTAGTCATGACTGGACTACAGCTATTGAAGGGTATGTGCTGTTTAGGAAAGACAGAAATAAAGGTAAAGGTGGTGGAGTAGCATTGTATATCAATTCTGAGGTAGAATGTAAAGAAATAAGAAGCAATGGAATGGATAAGACAGAGTCCGTCTAGGCAAAAACCACACTGGGGAAGAAAACTACTAGAGCCTCCCCTGGGATAGTGCTTGGGGTGTGCTATAAACCGCCGGGATCTAATTTGGATATGGATAGAGCCCTCTTTAATGTTTTTAATGAAGTAAATACTAATGGAAACTGCGCGATCATGGGAGACTTTAACTTCCCAGGTATAGACTGGAGGACGAGTGCTAGTAATAATAATAGGGCTCAGATTTTCCTAGATGCGATAGCTGATGGATTCCTTCATCAAGTAGTTGCTGAACCGGCTAGAGGGGATACCATTTTAGATTTGGTTTTGGTGAGGATCTCATAGGAGAAATGGTTGTAGGGGACAATCTTGGTTCAAGTGATCATGAGCTAATTCAGTTCAAACTGAATGGAAGGATAAACAAAAATAAATCTGCGACTAGGGTTTTTGATTTCAAAAGAGCTGACTTTCAAAAATTAAGGAAATTAGTTAGGGTAGTGGATTAGACTGAAGAATTTATGGATCTAAAGGCAGAGGAGGCCTGGGATTACTTCAAGTCAAAGCTGCAGAAGCTATCAGAAGCCTGCATCCCAAGAAAGGGGAAAAAATTCATAGGCAGGAGTTGTCGACCAAGCTGGATGAGCAAGCATCTCAGAGCGGTGATTAAGAAAAAGCAGAAAGCATACAGGGAGTGGAAGATGAGAGGGATCAGCAAGGAAAGCTACTATATTGAGCTCAGAACATGTAGGGATAAAGTGAGAAAGGCTAACAGTCAAGTAGAGTTGAACCTTGCAAAGGGAATTAAAACCAATAGTAAAAGGTTCTATAGCCATATAAATAAGAAGAAAACAAAGAAAGAAGAAGTGGGATTGCTAAACACTGAGGATGGAGTGGAGGTTAAGGATAATCTAGGCATGGCCCAATATCTAAACAAATACTTTGCCTCAGTCTTTAATAAGGCTAATGAGGATCTTAGAGATAATGGTAGCATGACAAATGGGAATGAGGATATGGAGGTAGATATTACCATATCTGAGGTAGAAGCGAAACTCAAACAGCTTAATGGGACTAAATCAGGGGGCCCAGATAATCTTCATCCAAGAATATTAAAGGAATTGGCACCCGAAATTGCAAGCCCATTAGCAAGAATTTTTAATGAATCTGTAAACTCAGGGGTTGTACCATATGATTGGAGAATTGCTAACATAGTTCCTATTTTTAAGAAAGGGAAAAAAGGTGATCCGGGTATCTACAGGCCTGTTAGTTTGACATCTGTAGTATGCAAGGTCTTGGAAAATTTTTGAAGGAGAAAGTAGTTAAGGACATTGAGGTCAATGGTAAATGGGACAAAATACAACATGGTTTTACAAAAGGTAAATTGTGCCAAACCAACCTGATCTCCTTCTTTGAGAAAATAACAGATTTTTTAGACAAAGGAAACGCAGTGGATCTAATTTACCTAGATTTCAGTAAGGCGTTTGATACCGTGCCACATGGGGAATGATTAGTTAAATTGGAAAAGATGGGGATCAATATGAAAATGGAAAGGTGGATAAGGAATTGGTTAAAAGGGAGACTACAGTGGGTCATACTGAAAGGTGAACTGTCAGGCTGGAGGGAGGTTACCAGTGAAGTCCCTCAGGGATCAGTTTTCGGATCAATCTTATTTAATCTTTTTATTACTGACCTCGGCACAAAAAGTGGGAGTATGCTAACAAAGTTTGTAGACGATACAAAGCTGGGAGGTATTGCCAATTTAGAGAAGGACCGGGATATCATACAGGAGGATCTGAATGACCTTGTAAACTGGAGTATTAGTAATAGGATGAAATTTAATAGTGAGAAGTGTAAGGTCATGCATTTAGGGATTAATAACAAGAATTTTAGTTATAAGCTGGGGACACATTAATTAGAAGTAATAGAGGAGGAGAAGGACCTTGGAGTATTGGTTAGCCACAGGATGACTATGAGCCGCCAATATGATATGGCCGTGAAAAAAGCTAATGTGGTCTTGGGATGATCAGGCAAGGTATTTCCAGTAGAGATAAGGAGGTGTTACTACCATTATACAAGGCATTGGTGAGACCTCACCTGGAATACTGCATGCAGTTCTGGTCTCCCAAGTTTAAGAAGGATGAATTCAAACTGGAACAGGTACAGAGAAGGGCTACAAGGATGATCTGAGGAATGGAAAACCTGTCTTATGAAAGGAGACTCAAGAAGCTTGGCTTGTTTAGCCTAACCAAAAGAAGGTTGAGAGGAGATATGATTGCTCTCTATAAATATATCAGAGGGATAAATACCGGAGAGGGAGAGGAATTATTTAAGCTCAGTACCAACGTGGACACAAGAACAAATGGATATAAACTGGCCATCGGGAAGTTTAGACTTGAAATTAGATGAAGGTTTCTAACCATCAGAGGAATGAAGTTCTGGAATAGCCTTCCAAGGGAAGCAGTGGGGGCAAAAGACCTATCTGGCTTCAAGATTAAACTTGATAAGTTTATGGAGGAGATGGTATGATGGGATAACATGATTTTGGCAATTAATTGATCTTTAACTATTCGTGGTAAATAGGCCCGATGGGGTGGGATCTGAGTTACTGCAGAGAATTCTTTCCTGGGTATTTGGCTGGTGAATCTTGCCCATATGCTCAGGGTTCAGCTGATCGCCATATTTGGGGTCGGGAAGGAATTTTCCTCCAAGGCAGATTGGAAGAGGCCCTGTGGGTTTTTTGCCTTCCTCTGTAGCATGGGGCACGGGTCACTTGCTGGAGGATTCTCTGCACCTTGAAGTCTTTAAACCATGATTTGAGGACTTCAATAGTTCAGACATAGGTGAGAGGTTTATTGCAGGAGTGGGTAGGTGAGATTCTGTGGCCTGCATTGTGAAGGAGGTCAGACTAGATGATCATTATGGTCCCTTCTGACCTTAATATCTATGAGTCTATCTTGGTTCTTTTTTGAACCCTGTTATAGTCTTGGCCTTTACAACATCCTCTGGCAAGGAGTTCCACAGGTTGACTGTGCGTTGTGTGAAGAAATATTTCCTTTTGTTTGTTTTAAACCTGCTGCCTATTAATTTCATTTGGTGGCCCCTAGTTCTTGTGTTATGAGAAGGAGTAAATAACACTTCCTTATTTACTTTCTCCACACCAGTCATGATTTTCATAGAATCATAGAACTGGAAGGGACCTCGAGAGGTCATCTAGTCCAGTCCCCTGCACTCAAGGCAGGACTAAGTATTATCTAGACCATCCCTGAAAGGTGTTTGTCCAACCTGCTCTTAAAAATCCCCAACGATGGAGATTCTACAACCTCCCTAGGCAATTAATTCCAACGCTTAACCACTCTGACAGTTAAGAAATTTTTCCTAATGTCCAACCTAAACCGCCCTTGCTGCAATTTAAGCCCATTGCTTCTTGTGCTATCCTCAGAGGATAGGAAGAACAATTTTTCTCCCTCCTCCTTGTAACAACCTTTTATGTACTTGAAAACTGTTATCATGTCCCCTCTCAGTCTTCTCTTCTCCAGACTAAACAAGCCCATTTTTTTCCAATCTTCCCTCATAGGTCATGTTTTCTAGACCTTTAATCATTTTTGTTGCTCTTCTCTGGACTTTCTCCAATTTTTCCACATCTTTCCTGAAATGTAGCACCCAGAACTGGACACAGTACTCCAGTTGAGGCCTCATCAGTGTGAAGTAGAGCAGAAGAATTACTTCTCGTGTCTTGCTTACAATACTCCTGCTAATACATTCCAGAATGATGTTTGCTTTTTTTACAACAGCATTACACTGTTGACTCATATTTAGCTTATGATCCACTATGACCCCCAGATCCCTATCCACAGTACTCCTTCCTAGGCAGTCATTTCCCATTTTATAGACCTCTATCATACCGCCTCTTAGTCATCTTTTTTCCAAGTTGAAAAGTCCAAGTCTTATTAATCTCTTCTCATGTGGAAGCTGTTCCAGATTCCTAATCAGTTTTGTTGAGCTTTTCTGTACCTTTTCCAATTCCAATACATCTTTTTTGAGATGAGGTGACCACGTCTGCACAGAGTATTCAAGATGTGGGTGAACCATGGCTTTATATAGAGGCAATATGATATTTTCTGTCTTATTATCTATCCTTTTCTTAATGATTCCCAACATTCTATTAGGAATATTTTTCTTACGTTATATACAATATATGCCTATCTCCCTTGTTTCAGAGGGGTAGTCTGATGAAAGTGGGTTTTAGCCCACGAAAGTTTATGCCCAAATAAATTTGTGTGTGTCTAAGGTGCCACAAGGACTCCTCACTTGTGTCTCTCTCGCTATCAGGGATTTCATGATATCTTAGCATATTTATTCACTCACTGAAGGTAAAAATTATGCTCTATTGTTCAACATTCCTTTAAATCAGGAAGCTCAGCTTAAAGTATATGCCATGAGGCAAAGAAACATGCAATTAAAACCATGGTTAAAAAAGGTAATAAATAGTACCTACTTTCAGAACAGGCATAGAAGTAGGTCAAATTACATTTAGGTGGGTCGTTTCTAGTCCACCTTAAACTCAAAGAGCTGTCATTTATTACTTCAATCATAAAGTTGTATCTTTTTTCATCTGTAATGATGAAGACATAATGCAACATATTCAGATTTTATTTTAACATGCTTTTGAAGGTATTTATTCTCAGTATTCCTGTATAACATTATGTTTGATTATTAATACAAACGTGTTTGTGGAGCGGGGGAACCACAAGTATGTATTAAGGTGAGTAAAATCATGTGTAACAAGGCATTATGGTGAGTTACTAAAAAAAGTTTGGCGACTCAGCTTTAAACATCTGATAACCAGTGGAATTCTCTGTGCAAATTGTGACCCAGCTTTCATAGCTGCACAAGGCAGTATGGGAGCATATATGGTGACTGCTCTCTCCCTCTTCCTCACAAACAATTTAATTATGATTTTGCTGAATAAACCCGTATATCATGAATAAAAACTGTACTTACCAGGTGGGACATGAATTGGATATGAATGGGTAGAACCATTAACTTCTATTTCAATGTCATATGTTTGACATTCCTGAAGTCCTTCGATAGTGTCATTTTTTATAGTACAATTAGTACATTTAAGAGTGAATGAAGTTATATTTTTGTTGCATTTCCAAACTTTCACTTTTGCACTGATGTGGTTCTCAGTGTAGCTGTAACGCACAACTTCAAGAGTAATGTTGTCTAAAAGAAGACAAAAAATTTTAAACGCCACACTTAAAAAAACAATTTTTCATTCTTACACTTGAATTTTAATTTTGGTACTGGTCACCTCCTCACTTTATGATATAGGTAGCATAAATTATAATAAATAAAATCATTTCAACTCATTGTTTTATGGTATTTATATAACTGATTTGGAAACACCAATGAAGGATTCATATGTCCAAACTCCAGCACACTCCATTCTTTAAAGATCTCAGAAAAAACGATATGAGGAAGTATATGAAACTTAGGCCTGGTCTGCACTCGGAATTTACATTGGTAAAGCTACCTCTCTCAGGGGTGTGAAAAATCCACACCCCTGAGAGACATAACTATACCAACCTAACCCCTGGTGTAAACAGCACTAGGTTGACTGAAGAATTCTTCCATTGACCTAGTTATCGCCTCTTGGGGAGGTAGATTACCTTTGCCAACAAGAGAACCCCTCCCATCAGTGTAGGTAGTGTCTACACAGAAGTGTTACAGCAGCACAGCTGCAGAAGGGCAGCTGTGCTGCTTTAGCATTTTAAGTGTAGACATGCCCGTAGAAATGTCCTTTTACCTCCCCCATCAGGGTATAGACATGTTATCAAAAATGGTTTGTGACGAGGCCTCCACCCCACACAAGACAAAGCAGGTTAAGTTAGGCCAATCAACCTGATAGGAGGAAAGATGGAGGAAAGCCAGGGACTAATAATGGTGAATTGATGATGAAGCCTAACTGGGCAAGGGCAGACTGAGCTTGTATAAAGCCAGCAAGCTAAGAACAGAGTGGGGTTGCAATCACTCTCTGGAAGAAAGGAGGTTTGTTTGGGCTACAGAGCTTGGCAAGAAGTCAGAGAGGGGAAGTAGTTTACAGTTAGTCCCAAGGAGGAGGGAGTTTGGACCAGTAAACCTAAGGGTGCAGAAGATAGAGAAGGGAAATACAAAGCAGTCCAGGGAAATAGCAACATGGTCAGGGAGCAAGCAGACCATAGCTGCTAGACATAGGTTCCCTGGGCTCGACCACAGATTAGTACATGGCCCTGGGTTTCCCTACCAGATGCTGGGAAAGTGGCACAGGACTAGCCTTGGACCAGAAGATTGTCTGGAATGGCATGCAGATAGGTAATCTAATGGCACTTTGATACCCCAAAAGGAGAGGACTATGCAGTGATCTGGTCAGAGCACTGAGTCACGAAGATGAAGTTCTGCGAGTCTTGGAAAGTGAGGGGGGATGCAGTGTGAACAACTGTCAGAAGGGGGGGCATCAGACCTGAATGGAGCTAATCCCCATATGTGGCCACCAAGAGCCAGCACAATGGTGAGTGTACCCAGTTACATGCTCTTTTTAAGTGGGCTAGATTGTCCCTTTCTGTGGAAAAATCCACAGGACGGAGTAAATATTGTAGAAAATGCACAAATTGCTTGGGGAGATGCCATTCCCCATCAGAACAGATTGTGGGTTCAGCTCTCTAACCCCACTGATTCTGGGGGATCCATAGGAAACCAGGGTGATTTGCACTAAGGCCCTGCACCCCAGTACTGTCCTCTGGAATTGTAGTTCCAGTGGAACCATCCTACTTGGACTTCTGCAGCCAGCAACTTGCCCCAGCCTCACCCATGTAGGGAGATCTCTAGTGGAGCCAGGGAGCGTATAAAAAGTAAATAAGCTGGGCACTGCATTACATTTCTACCCTGAGTTCCATGGGACAGGTGGGAGACAATGAGCCTCCTCCCATCCTATCTAGTCTCAGATTGTCCACTTGTATTGACACAAAGTTTTCCACATGGTCTGGGGGGAAATGGGCATGTTAACATGGAGGGCCCTGATGCTCTTTCTTATGTGGGTGGGGAGATCTGTGCATAGAAAGACTCCTCTTTCTTTTTTGATTGGGGGAGGGGGCACAATCTGTCCATCTGTTACAATACCAACTAATATGTGTATTGATATTATACATTACAAAGTGACTAGCTAACAAATCGGTGTGAATAAATTCTACTCGGCCATCCATCGTGACTGTACAAGATATACCAGAATCATTACACACACAGGCTAGACAGGAGTCTAAGAGTAGATAAAAAGCAACAGAGTGATGGTTGAGTTGGAAGCTGGCACACGTATTGGTTGGGGTATATCAGGACATTGTGTGAACTGGGAGGTAGCATGGTAATGTAACAAGACTGAGAGGTATCCAAAGGATGGTGTATTGGAGACAGAAAAAGGTGTCTCTGGAGAGGCAGAGTGGTGACAGCACACTTGTCTCCCTACAAAAGTGAACACCCTACACTACTGTAGCCATTTTTGCAGCATTTACAAGCTCTACAAGCAGACAAGTTCAGCTCTCTTCAGAGACATAGTTTCTCCATAGTACAAGGATCCTAGGATGGGGAGTAAATGCTCTTTGGGGCTCCAAGAAACAAATGAAGCACCCTCTCTGGTCAATTTAATTGACAGTTTTAATATGATAATTTAAAAGAAATAAATAGCAATTAATACTTGAAGATATTTTCTGATGGCTAAAAATCATGTAACCCGTAAAACACTCCATATATTATACATGGACTGTTGTGGTCCCCTGGGCCCTCAGAACAAAATATAAAATCCACTTCTTCAATATAGACTTCTCTCAGTAACATCACCAAAATCACATATTTAAAAAAATGTGGTCTCCTCAGACTGGGGAAGTAGAGAGTCATGTAGAGATCAACTTAAGTTTATTTTATGAATTTTGTGAGGCATTCAGAGACCATGATGAAGGACATTGTATAAAAATCTAAATAGATATGAGATGAACAGATCATGGCTGTCATACAACTCTTTACCGTGGTTGTAATGATTTTATCCCATCTACCCTGGTGAGGGGAAGCCCTGTTATAACATAATCTGGAAACTATTGTATTACTGCACAATTCCCTGGCTGAGCATGCTGTCCGGTCTCCAATTCACCTTCCACTCCAGCATGCTCTGCCTATGGGCTGGGGAAGACAGATAAGACTAGTTTTATCAGTTATTCTCTAAAGCCTGTTTTCTTCTTTTGTCTCTCACAGGTTATAAAATTAGATTATTAAAGAGTGAATCTTAGAGAGCACCTTAGTACTGAACAAACCAGACATTTTTCTCCCAGAGGCAGACAATATGCTGTAGCACTGGAGAGCTCTGTTACTACTTCACCAGATGAGTGCATAGTGGGTTGTCTGAGCAGCTTGAGAATTGGGCAAAAGCAGTCCAAAAAATTCTGAAGACCTGCAGACTACCCCTCCAAAACAGTAAAAAAGACCATAAAACAAAATAAAATGCTTAAGTACCTGCTGATTGGTTTGTTTGGGCATTTAGTTGATCACAGTGAGGTGGGAGGGTGTTATTTCTGATTTTAAAAGTTGCACTTCACCTTTATTAAACATAACTTACCACACTTTATAGGAGAAGTCGTTACTGCAGTCGTATCTGTAAGAACAGGGGGAAAATAAGACGACAACATTCCATTAATAATTTTTGGGATGGATGGTTAATGTGTTTGTACTTATATCACCAAACATTTATTTCAAAATAATGTTTAGCCTTTACGTGTTAAAATAGTTTTACTTTGATTAACTCATATTTCTGTCTTCAACCTTAAAGTATAGTTAGTGTGCATTTCATTATTTCCCTTTGTATGGTTGATTGCAAATTAGACTGCTCATTATACATGTTTCACAACTGTAGTTCTACACAAGCAAGTCGCATTATTTTTCATATAGGTATGGTATGCAAATCTACATGGGGAGCTACATCAGTCTCCTTTATAGCCAGAATAAGGGGACAGTAAGTATCTTGATTGGAATGGCCCTTTTGCAAGGTTTCAGTGATGCAGGTGTCATTTGCAAGAAGGCCATGTCACTTTGGGAATTGCCATGATGATGGTGAAGTGTCTCAGTTTTGACTGTCGTTAAACAAAAAGAATCAAACCATTGTGACTTAATTACCCTAAGCATGTAAGAAGTGCAAGGTTGGGCTTCACCATTGTTTTTTACCAAGAAAAAGCAAGTAATATTTTCTGTTCATGATTGTCAGGAAATAAACATAATTTAATCATTAAATTAACAGTAATAAGCTTCCTAAGAGACTTTAGTTTCATGCAGTTTCTTCAGTTGTATCTGTGATAAAAAATATTTGTTAAGGTTTCAAAGATAAAGTTACTTTAGTGGCTAACACAGTTCTCATGCATGATCTGTTACGATTGCTATTACTGTGTGCAAGTTTGTCACCATTTTTTGGAGGTGAAGCAGTTGTCATGGAATGTGAGGTGTCTGAGGAAGACTCAGGCATGTTTGCTGTAGTGCTGGTTGGAGTAAGGCTCGTGGATGGTGAAGTGTGCAAGGATGTCATATGGGAATAATCTGCAAGGAAATAAACAGAACAAATTAATGTCAAAGTCAGTCCATTGTGCGGTCTTATCATAAATGGGTTTTAACCTGTGCTTTCTTTTTATTATCCTATCCTAAAATGGAGCTGCAACTGAGGTTGTGTTAGTATTTGCATTTAAAAAAACAAAACAGGAGTCTCTTAGTATAATTTAAAATAATATCAAACTTCTACAGGTTAAATACTCCTAAAATATATTGGGCTGAATTCGGCAGTCACTACTCAGACAAACCCCTTATGAAGTGAATGGCAGTTTTGCCTGAATGAAGATTTCAGGATTTAGCCCATTATTCAAACTAGGGAAGACCACAATTCTCATTCTTATTTCTTACCACAGGGCTCAATTCTGCTAACACTTACTACCAAGCATAGTGCTTATTGCTATTGAGACACCTCAGGGTAGTAATCACTAGTCTCCATAGTAGATGTTTGCAAGATCAGATTCATAAGTACCTAGGTACTATGCACAACATAATTTTATTTTCTTAATTAGAAACAATTATTACTTATTTATTCAGTTTTATATTGAGCCCACTCCTGAAGTTCTTACTTCGGCAAAACTGTCACTGACTGCAGTAGGAGTTTTGCCAGAGTAATGACTGCAAGATCAAACTATCAGATGTTATACTCTGGAGATAAAATGCAGAAGCTCCTTGAAGTCTGGCACCAATTGTGCAGCTTAGAAACACTTTCTCAGTTTGTTGAGCAATTAATGTAATAAGAATTAACCTAACTGCCAAACTATACTATTTTCCTTCCAGCAACTGTACTATTGACAGCCTGGGGCATCTAAGGGAATACAGCAAACCTGGTGGTTCATGCATGATGGTAGCAGGAGTGAGTGAAGTAAGGGCAGCAGTGCTGCTGTGTGGCTGATTGGTGGATCCCATGGAAGAGTCTGAGTATGCATGAGTGAGATTTGCGCTGCTTGTTGGAATGACACCTGTAGTAAAGTAGTACAATAGTTTGTTATTGCTTCCTAAAATAACATACACAGACAAGAACAATAAAGTCACATGTAAGCAAGGCTGCTATTCCTGGAAAGATAATGTTAGAAGTTCTTGCTTTTATATTTAGGCAGACACACAGTTTCATTTTGTTTCTTATGTATACAGCCAATGGAAAAGACAGCAAAATGCATTCTAAAAGAAAGGTACCCAGAAGTACAAAACACCTACGAAGTGAGCAGGTGAATGTTGAGTGTCCTCAGTTCTCACTGGGACTGATTGCTGTTGCTGAAGTCAAAAGTGAGACTCTCATTAGCTTCAATGGGATTAGGATAAAGCTCTTTGATTTTGATGGTAGCTGAGGGTGGTCATCCCCTCTGTAGGTTCAGATTCCTTGTGTTTTAAGAAATGGTCATTGTCATACAGAAAGAGAGATCTACACTTGTAATTTTAATAACTGTTCCAAAACAATAATATAAATGTCACCACTACCCTGTAATATCCTCTAGTGTATAAAACCATTATAAAAACTAATTAGTGTGTCTATAGTTCTAACACACTTGTATAACTCAATAAGGATCAGATTCTGTTGGTAAATTCTATTACAGTCATTTTACAGGTGGGTACAAGATCATATATCCCAGTAAATGGCAAAGCCCTGGAACAGACTCAGGAATCCTTACTTTATCTCCTGATCTAAGCACCACCAACACTCAGACAAACCGTTATATGAAATCTTTACCAGGATTCTCAGTTGATTAATATTCTTTAGATTTAGCTAGTTGGACCTTCAACTTTTAGCTGAACATACCTTATATCTTTTCATGCATTTCCATTAGAGAAAATTTTTAATCCACGTGGATAATTGACAATTTTGTAGGCTTTCAGTTTCAGGGAGAATCAAGACAGTTGTGAAGACAAATAGCTCTTCCTTCATTTCAGGCAGAGACCATAACTTTTCAATGAGCACACAACAAAACAAGAGTATGAAGATGAACAAAAAATTAAGGCCTCAGGACATCAATACCATGTCAGCTTGTCTTTAAGGCTGATGATTTTACAAAGCATTTTATATGGAATATGTATCCACACAATCAGCAGCATAATAGATCCATTCTATGGTTGTTAGGCTAATTTGAAAAGAAGCTATGAATAAATATATGCCCCAAAATTGCCTGAAATCAGTACTCCTTTCTTCGTCCCTTTGAATAGGAAATGGAAACTAAAATTGATCTCTTGCAATAGCTTTATGGAATATATACCTGTAAATAACCTAATGACCACTGGATGTCATCATTGCTTCACAGAAAGAAAAAAAATGAACCATCTTTTATCTAACAATAAATCATTACTTCAAATTGGACTATATTTTTAATATTGATTGATCAGGCATCTTGCAGTGGTCCACTTTTGTCCAACATTACTGTCTGTTTTTCATCTTCTGAATGTTTATGGAGCACACTGGTACCTCTCACTGGAATATTCTGCTGCTATTTCAGTCTCCTTGTAGTGTTTCTCTGCCTTCAGCCCCAGTTTTCCTGTCCTCTCTCTCATTCTCATCTCTGACCTCTTAACTCTTGATTTACACATAAAGATAAGATGGTCATGTAACTGTGTGGTAAAATGTTCTTACCAGATGAAGAACCTGAAATTCTTACTCAGTGGTAAGTAGAAAGCATATTGTGACAAAGTTCCTCCTCTACCTTGGTGGGTCTTGCACTTATTGGCGGATTTGCTCGCCTTGGAGCTTCACAGCAGCCCTTAGTTTGGCCGTTTTTGTGAACCCACAGTCCAGATCAACTCGTCCTGTGTCTGACCAGGAGTTGGGAGGATTTGGGGGGAACCCAGGCCTGCCCTCTATTCCAGGTTCCAGCCCAGGGCCCTGTGGAATGCAGCTGTCTTGAGTGCCTCCTGGAACAGCTGTGCGACAGCTACAACTCCCTGGGCTACTTCCCCATGGCCTCCTCCCAAAACCTTCTTTATCCTCACCATAGGACCTTCCTCCTGGTGTCTGATAATGCTTGTACTCCTCAGTCCTCCAACAGTATGCATTCTCACTCTCAGCTCCTAGCGCCTCTTGCTCCCAGCTCCTTACATGCGCACCACAAACTGAAGTGAGGGCCTTTTTAAACCCAGGTGCCCTGATTAGCCTGCCTTAATTGATTCTAGCAGCTTCTTGATTGGCTGCAGGTGTTGTAATCAGCCTGTCTGTCTTAATTATCTCCAGAAGGTTCCTGATTGTTCTGGAACCTTCCCTGTTACCTTACCCAGGGAAAAGGGACCTACTTAACCTGGGGCTAATATATCTGACTTCTATTACTCTCCTATAGCCATCTGGCCCGACCCTGTCACAATATCAATGACATATGCTGAGTGCCATTTGCAAATAACTATGCTTAATAGCCTACAGCTTCATCTTGCATTCTTTACCAGGTAAATCAACTGAAAATTTGCCTCATGATGCAAAGTACTGTCTAGAGGACTGAATTCATGGAATTATTCATCTAATACAATATAAGAACAGCATGATAAATATGAGTCTCATTTTTCAGCTTCTTGTCAGAGGCTAGTCCAGCAGTTCACAGGTCCTTTTGGGATCTGAGTTAGAGGCCTCAACTTGTTCCTTTTGGTCCTTGGCCAGCAATGATATTGGGAATGCAGGTGGGGCAGCATACTTCTTGGGGCATAGAATATCTTGAGTTGCTCTGCTTTAACCACTCTGCATAATTCAGGAGTAGTGTTGAATTGTGTGGAAGAGGTAGAGTTGATTATGACCTTAAGAAGGATGAAGCATCTCTTTTCAGGACAATATTTAAATAACCTGTGGCAGCAGCAGCTATGTGGTTTTAACAGAGTCCTGTGTGGCGATGCTAATGGATACTTCAGTAGAATATCCAGTATGTATATGTATATATTTGACTCAGAACATGCTTGCAGAGTCATGTTCCGCTTCAGAGTTGCTTGCAGGTGAGGGTGACGTATAATGTGCAGGTGTGACTAAAGAGCCACTAGACAGTGGGAGACTTCAGTTTCCTGTTGTGAGTGATAATGAAAAATACAATGGCGGAAGACAGGACATCCTTAAGTGTGATTAGTTAAACAGAGAAAATATCACCGTTCTGAAGTAGTCTTGCATCTGGACTGATTACAACAATGCAGTTTGACGAGACTGTTTGTCCTCCTCAATCAAAAATAAATCAGATTCACTGGGTCAGACCTTTGGGACTAGCCTTTTGGCACGGAGGAGTTTCAAACAGCCTTTGTGGTCCCCTTTTTAGTTTCCTATAAAAATCTAGGGCTCCACATTCTGGGCTGTGTTATATTTAGAATACTGTCAGTTGTTGGGGTTTTTTTTAAACTGTATAGATCTGGTCCCCAGCCAGTGAGCTGAGTGGAAAGATTTCAGCTGACTTCAGTGGGCTTTGGATCCATCCCTAGATGACTTTTTTTTAAAAAAAAATTCTGTCTGCTTTTTCTGCAATTCTTGTAAAAGTTTAACTCTTCTGTGGGACAAGATAAATGTGAAAACACTATCTGGGATTAACAAAACCAAACAATTATAAACACATTTTCTGTTTAAACTAGGACACACAATTCAGAACCTACCATATTCTATTATTTTTATTATTAATTTTTTGTATTACAAACATATAACAAAAACACAGTCCCATGCTGAAAAATTTACAATCTAAATGAATATGCTAAGTGAATGAGATATGTTTAGTGAAATACACGTAAACCACAAATTTGGATAGAAGCAAATTGGTTCATTCAGTTCCTCCTTTTTAAACCAGTCTATATTACTTCACATGTGATCTCACTATTCTAAATGTAAAGGCATTAAACACTCTAGAAGATAATACTTGTACACACAAAGTATGTGTCTTATTGGAAGTGAACACAACCACAATACAAGCAAGTTTCATACAGAAGTGTTGCAGTTCTGTAAGGAAAGTAAATATAGTTCTCTTACCTTTTTTTTTAGGGTCGCTTTGCTCTAAAAATAATAAAAACAGGAGTAAATCCAATATGTCAAGAGAAGGTTATACACATTTGTGTCCATACATTAAGGCTCCAATCCTGCAATTAGATTCATGCACACAGATCCTTGCCCCAATGCCGAAGAAGAGCTTAGGGCCTGACTCATCAAGGTATGTGAGCACATGCCTGACTTTAAGCACATGAGCTGTCCTGGACAAGGCAATGAATTAAGTTGCAGCATATAAAAAAGCACATGCATTCTAGGCTCCTTAGTTCCTACTGTTTTCACCTGAATCACTGACCTCTCTCTATGTGCCTCACATGATCAGCACACACCAAAAGTGTGCAACTGTTAAACAGCACTGAAAACTGAGAACTGAAAGCACATAGATCAGGAAAGAGGTCGGTGAAGCATAGTGATAAAAACCTATAATTATATTGGTTTTATGATGTTACCTGTCATTTAGCAACTTCATTTATATATATTTTTGTTTATACTAAAATTTGGAAACATTAATCATATTTGATTTTAATTTAAGCAATAAAAACTAAACAATGTTTCTGGAACGTCTACAAATTATGATGTAATATAATGGGCCAGACCCTCAGCTGGTGTAAATCAATGTATCTCCACTTAACTCATTGGAGCTGGCTAGATTTACACCACCTGAGGATCTGGCCCAATACTACTGAGTGAGACTAACTGGCGCTATACCCAAGAGTGTTTTTCAGTTGTCCATGGGGAGAGGAGAACCATTCTTTCTTCCCAACTTCACACTGACTGATCCCAGGCTTCTCCTGTAATCTAAAAAGATTTTAACCTTGTAGGTCACTCAACCCATTGTAATAGGATTTATTTGGGAAGTTATCTTGTAGCTTGATGTTGGTAGTCTGGGATTCTGCTGGAATGGGCATGGGATGGAGATTCCCCAAGATGTTTGTAACTAGAGGTGAAATGGTTCTCTCAGGTGTAGAAGATGTAAAAATGAAGGTTCAATACCAGTCTATATAACCCTATAAAACATGGTGATACATAACTGAGAGGAACTTAACTCTGAAATGTACGGTATAAATAGTAAGTGTCTTTAAGCTGTAGTTCCTTCTTTAATCCAGAATGTGAATTCAAGAATGAGACACTGAGCTCCATTCTTTCATCCAGGTGCTTAATTATCTGTCATGCAGTTCACTGTCTACTGTAGAACAACATGTACTATATAAGAAACAAGTTAAAAATAGAACTAGTTTAATTTGTTAATTCTCTGTGACAGGCTGTGACACCTGAGCCAAGGAAACCTCCACATCTGAGTTGGTGTTCAAGCACTTGGGAGGCAAAGGTAGAATGAAAAATCAAACAATGCCTGATGCCTTTAAGGCCTTTTTTGTCTAAGTATAGATATATATATAAATAGATATATAGATATATATAAAGAAGGCTTCCCTCAGCTGTGGGCCTCAGATATAGTTCAAATATATGATGCTGAGCCCAATCCCCTTCCAGCACCTCTGTGGGCTCCCTTCACCATATTACATCCCCATATTGGTATTTTTGGGAAACAGCCAACAATGAAATATTCCCAGTTCACTGTTAGGACATGTAGCTTTAGAAACATCAGGACTACGGGTCAGATTTTACAATATGGCTGCCTAACATGCACATGCTCATGCTTTTATGCATGCAAAGTGGATACTTATGCATGCACTTACCTGTCGTGCACGCACAAATTCTATGGATACAATTAGCAATTTGAGGCTGCATTTGAGAATGTGGCCCTGTGTTTCTAAGAAAGAAATTACATTAAATTGGCTATTAGCCAGGATGGGCAGGGATGCAAAACCATCCTCTAAAGCAGTAATACTCAAAGTGGTGGTCCGCGGACCGGTGCCAGTCCACAAGCCATCGGCTGCCGGTGTGCGTGCACATTGGAAAAAAAAATTGCCGGTCCCCCACATCAGATAGCTTGAGAAGCACTCCTCTAAAGTGTCCCTAGCCTCTGTTTGCCAGAAGCTGGGAATAGGCAACTGGGGATGGATGACTTGATGATTACCTGTTCTGTTCATTCCTTCTGGGGCACCTGGCACTAGCCACTGTCAGAAGACAAGATACTGGGCTAGATGGACCATTGGTCTGACCCAGTATGGACATTCTTCTGTTCTTATGTTTTAAGCTTTAAGAGTCTGATTCTCATTTACCTAAAGCCTCTTTGCATTTTGTTCAGGCAGCATCAAGAGGTCTTAATGTAAATGAGAATCAGATTCTAAATATACCAAGGATATACAAATATTTTGAAATATTTTCCTAATTTAATTATTTAAAGTAATTTGAGGTAAAGGACTGTTGTAACATCTGTGTGGTGGAGCTGGATGTCAGTTCAGGGAAAACAATTTGAGAACAAAACTGTGCCCCGTGTTTCACTTTTACCTTTGTTGTCGCCTGCAGGTGAGTGTGAAGTGGAGTTTGCAGATAGAAGTGATGTGCTTGTGGGCATGGAAGAATGTTCAGTTCCTTCTATTCCTTCTCCTGTTGCATGATGGGGAAAATATTATTAATTGAATAGTGTACATAGCGGAAAAGTACAATTTAAATAGAAAAAAAATGTCAACTGCCATTAGTTTTCCAGCTAGGACCATATTACAGTGGGATAACTTCACAATGCTCTCTCATATTATATATACGCAACAAGAAGGCAAAGGTGTTTAATGCCTATTTTGCTTCAGTCTTCACTAAAAAAGGCAAATTGTGACCAAATACTTAACACAATTAATATTTACAACAAGTGAAATGGCAAGCAAGCCAAAACAGGGAAAGAACAGGATAAAGAATATTTAGATAAGTTAGATGTATTCAACTCAGCAAAGGTCTGATGAAATTCACCCTCAGGTACATCAGGAATCAGCTGAAGCAATCTTGAAATTGGTAGTGATTATCTTTGAGAATTCATGAGGATGGGTGACATCCCAGAGGACTGGAGAAGGGCAAACATAGTATCTATGTTTAAAAAGTGGGTGTGGAGAGAAGACGTGGGGAATTATAGACTAGTCAGCCTAATTTTGATACCTGGAAAGATACTGGAACAATCAATTTGTGAGCACCTAGAGATAATAGCATTATAGGTAATAGACAACATGGGTTTGTCAAGAACAAATGATGCCAAACCAATCTAATTTCCTGCTTTTACAGGGTTACTGGACTAGTGCATGGGTAGAAGCTGTAGAGAGGATATATCTTGATTTTAGTAAGGCTTTTGACACTGTCCCATGACATTCTCATAAGCAAACTAGGGAAATGAGATCTAGGTGAAATTACTCTAAAATGGGCTAATAACTCGTTGAAAGACTGTACTCAAAGAGTAATTATCAATGGTTCACTATCAAACTGGGGGACATATCTAGTGGAGTTCCCTAGGGGGTCTCTCCTGTGTTCAGTACTATTCAACATTTTCATTAATGACTTGGATAACGGAATGGAGAATATGCTTATAAAATGTGTGGATGACACTAAGCTGGAGGGAGTTGCAAGTACTTTGAAGGACAGAATTAGAATTCAAAATGACCTTGAAAAATTAGAGAATTGGTTTGAATTCAACAAGATAAGATTTAATAAAGACAAGTATAAAGTACTACACTTAGGAAAAATCAAATACACAACTAGACAATGGGGAATAACTGGCTAGGCAGTAGTACTGCTGAGATGGCTCTAGGGATTATAGTGGATAACAAATTGAACATGAATCAACAATGTGATGCAAGAAAAAAACCTAATATTCTAGGGAGTATTAACAGGAGTGTAACATGTAAGACATAGGAGGTAATTGTCCCAGTCTACTTGGCAGTGGTGAGTCCTCAGCTGGAGCACTATGTCCAGTTTGGGGCGCCACACTCTAGAAAAGGTGTGGATAAACTGGAGAGAGACCAGAAGAGAGCTACAAAAAATGTTAAAAGTTTAGAAAACCTGATCTATAAGGAAAGGTTAAAAACCTGGCCATGTTTTATCTTGAGGAAAGAAGACTGAGGGGGAACCTGCCTCAGTGCAGGGGGCTGGACTAAATGACCTCTTGAGCACCCATAATGTTTTCCGATTTCACTGGAGCTGTGGTCCCTCAGCGGCTCTGAAAGTCAAGTTCCATATTTACATGCCTAAATTTACATGCCTAAATTCACATATATATCTTCCAAGAAGGTATTCAGTCTTGCTCTGAAGATCTCAAGAGATGGAGACTCCACCACTTCCCTTGGTAGTTTGTTCCAATGACTAGTCACCATCACTGTTAAGAAATTGTGCTTGCTTTCTAATTTGAATTTGTCTGGCTTCAGCTTCCAGCCATTGGGTCTTAGTCTTTCTCTGCTAGATTAAAGAGCCATTTAGTACCCAGTAATTTCTCCCTGTGAAGATATCTCTACACTGTACTCAAGTCTCCTCCCAATCTTCTTTTTGACAAGAGAAACTGATTAAGTTCTTTAAGTCTCTCACTGGAAGGCATTTTTTTCCAGTCCTCAAACCTTTCATGTGTCTCTTTTATACACCTTTCCAAATTTTTCAACATCCTTTTTAAAACGCAGACACCAAAACTGGAACCAGTATTGTAGGACAGGTTTCATCAGTGGATACAGTGCCTTATACAGATGACTATAGGTGCCCTTAGGCCTTTAAATGTCCTAAGAGCCTTGAATTCAGTAAAATTAGTATTATGAGGGAGGGAGACAGAAATAAATGACCCTGGCTGTCTGAGCAAGTCAGGTAACAGCAGCATGAGCACACTTTGGAGAAGAACAGTAATAACCAAAATGTCACTCAGTCCTTCACATCTGAAGGCTTTATTATCTCCCCTTACACACACAGGCTCACTGAATTGTATTCATTACTGCACCTCTCACTCATTATTGTTCTGTCCCAAGAGATACTCAAGAAGCTCCCACTCTCAACAGAAGTCCTGAGACACATCCTAAAAGAGCCCTGATGCCTTGTAGCATCTCCGGTTCTATTATAGGATGCCATACTTTTGGCAAACAGCAAGACTCCACATATTCAATATTTCTCTGCTGGCAGCTCTTTCCCTTTCTCAGCTAGTACTTCTTCATTACACCACCACTCTGTTAATTTGCTGGCTGCATTCTGTGTTTCTCCACTAGCACCGCACTGCTTATTATCTCTTCTTTACTTTACCTTCTCCAGGTGATGCTTCATAACTATGGTGTTTGTACCTCTTTGAATACAGACTCCTTCAACCCTTTAAAACAAAGTTTGAGGCTCAACCATCACAACTTAAACAGAAGACAAGGATAACATAAGAGATAACATAAGGATAACATGCTTTCGACCTGCTGACATGCCAGGGTCAAAAGTGGTCTCTAGTCTCCAGCACTGAAGCTCACCATCGGCAGACCTTCAGGGACTCGAAAGGATTTCTCCTCATCGACCTGACAAACAACATCATAATAGTTCAGCTGCTCAGAAGAAGCTACAAGTTCCACAGTCCATCTGGGCAGTTTAAAAAAAAAAAAACCCAAAATGTGGCCACCAAGTTTAAATAAGGCACCCCAGGAAATTGCTCAGTTGCTGAGTAACCAAAAGCCTGATGGAACTTTGAAAAGGCTCACTTACATTAAAGAAATGAGATAGAAAGAAACCAGAGTTGAAATCCTGACTCCAGCCAAGTCAATGATAAAAACTCCCATCAACTTCACTGGGGCCAGGATTTCTCCCAAGGTCTCTTTTTACTAACATTTGTGAAAAGCCAATAACTCAGTGTATTAGAGCAGATGTATTAGCTAGAACTAAAATAAAACTGGTACAAAGATAATGCTGAAACAGCCATCCTAGTACTAACGTGTATGAGTAGGGTTTTCTAGTGGGGGTTCATTCCTGTTATCTACCATACAGCACCACCATAGATACTCCAAAACCACCTACACTTCTCACTGCTATCAAGGCAATAACGGTTGAACCTCACCAAGCTCAGAGATTGGGTACAGACACGTATCCAAAAGTATGATGCTCATCTGAACTATCCAAATCTCTTGAGCATGCATACCTACTGAGTATGGATAGGCACCTACCTTATTAACATTTGTACACATGCAAATACATAAACAAAATTGGAAATCTTATGAGATAAGACAGCAAATTTGGGCCTGCAGATTGGCCATGAACACTTCACTTAGAATATGCCTTTAAATGTTTTAAATTAAATATTTGAGCTCTGTCGTTTGGTCACCTAAGTTTCATAGTATTTTTTTGCTTTCAACCAGATTACTTACACTTCATAAACTACTCCCAAATCCAATTTTGTTTCAATGCATTAATTTGGTCTTGGCTTGAGCCCAAAATTCACATTCTTTGAACTTTCATAGTAAAGGTAAAACTTCATTTGAATGCATGTTTGCAGAAACTAAATAAGGAATTGCAGACCAGGTCAAAGTGAAATTTTATTTAGAAGGTACTGAAGTGCTCACAATGCTTCTCTCTATTCACCCATCGCTAGTGTAAATATGATGAAGATATGGTCAGACACTCTAAGGTGTAGTGCTTCAAGAGAGGTATGATCTGTTGGTCTGAGCACAAGATGGAAGCAAAAATCACTGAGTTCTAATCCTCGCTGTGACACTGGCTCCTTTTGTGACTTGGGCAGATCCCTTAACATTTCTATGCCTCTGAAAAATGTGGAATAAATGGTACTAACTTAACTACCATGCAGGGATGTTTGAAGGATTCATTAATTGTTTGTAAATCTCTTTGATGATGACTACTGCTAAGTATTATTATTAAACAGCTTTACTACAGATGATGGTAACTGCTATCTTTCATTTTCTTGTATTGTTCTCTGAACAGATTTTTGTGGCAATTTTATGACAAACATTCTGTATGCCTCATTTTTTTTAATTTAATTTATTATAGTAGCAGAATAAGATGCAGTTAGTATTAACTCAGTAGGTGGCATCATAACACTAAAAAGCTCTCAAACGTTGTGCAGATGGATCTCCTATTATAATCCTGTTGTGAGATACCAGACAAATAGAATAGCTCCTTTTAAAAAGATGAAAATGGAGATCACAGGGCACTTGATCTTCAAAAAAAAAAATACATTACTCCAATACCAATACATGTATTGTTACCATGAATTTACTTTTCCCAATGTGGCCCACTACAATTCAAAATATTTCAGAGAGTGTATTAGCAAAATGACTCGAAGTCACAACTTTCTGCCCCGGTCATATCAATCAGCACGCATGTTTCTAAAATTCATAGATGGAATGAAACTCAAGGATATCTCCAAAGCTCTACATGTAAGTTGTTCTGAATACAAAAGGTACAGTATGTTGTAAGAAAGTCTGACAATCACTGAGACATTAAGGGATAGGCAACCCAGTCTGGATGAAATAGGAAGCATCCCAAACCTTTACTTTGAAATCTCAGACTTAATCAAACCTTAAATAATGTTTGAGACGATGTGGAAGTTATTGACTCATACATATAGCTCCTGGAAGGGGAGCAAAATGTAAGGTATGCGAAGAGTTTCCTCT